CTTGAGTATGTACCTGCCCTGGTAGAAAGTCATCAATTAGGGGTCGAGTGCGAAATCGGTTCAAAAAACGGGGCACTAGGGCAAAATCGGTACATATCATCGATCCTATGCCACTGTACTCTTGCCTATGTGTGTTACTAAGCACACCTGTCCAGCCTCTCCATAGTGAGTGACCTCCTTCAGCGGTTGAGGCGATTTCTGCCTCTATCTGATCCAGACAGAAGCGCAGAGCCCTTTGATGACGGTAGAACGCGCCTACAAAGAGAAGAAAACTGTAGTGTTCACGTACAAACTCTCAGTTAGGGTCATCATTGCAGACTTGATCGTATGTTTGTTCAGCTGCCCCGTCAGAGCGATTGAAACTGCTGATCCAGATCCAGACGGATTCGGCTCATTCGCGGTACCAATCACCTCTGCATGCTGCTCGATCAATTATCGCCAAGAACGGCTATATGAGCCTCAACAGGTTCGCGACAAATCAATCGATAATCGATTATTACTTCAGCCAAATTACTCTCAATGGGGAAGCTTATTGATTGTAGCTAATTTACTCTTCTGTTATACGTAGAGTCATTAGATTGTTGGCGCTTCATTAGACCCGTGGACGGCAGACGTACGGTGATTTTTCACCCCACGTGGGACGTCGTTGAAATGGCTGAGTGGCTGAAAAACTGCGCATCGTGTAGAGACCGGCACGAATGTCGACGACACCGATTGTGGCTGTAATAACGATGATGTTCTATCAAAGAGATTCGATATGATGTTTACGAGTATTTTGATCACTGGCGGACGAGCCCCTCATCGCTCAAGGGAACATCATCAGCAAAACCGTCCAAAAAGTGTTACAAAAATATTTTTATCATCGCTCACTGTTTTGGAATGACGTGAAAGAAAATGGTCTATACCATGATCATAAAGTACGAAAAGTAGGCGTCAAAACTGGAGGGGGGGGGGGAGAGGGTGAGAATGGTTGAGTGCAACAAGAAAGACCCTTCACAACCGAGAAAACTGTTGCTTGGACAGAACCTACAGCTCAGAACAAGGAATGAAGGAGGAGACTGAGCTGAGAGCCCTGTTTCTTGCACCGCTAAGGGTGTTCAAGTTGATTTATTTTGGGATGTGCCGCGCATTCGTCTTCTTCCGAAATCACGACAGTGTTGGAACGCTGCCACTTTTCACGGTCAAACGGAAAATCCTGGCTTGATAAAGCATGCCCTCAGTCCTCTGGAACTTGCAAATTGGTGCCAGAATCCTTTGGTAGGATAAAACTGAAAATCACACCTTCTAACTCCCGAAAATCGTTTCGTATGGTTTCAAATGGCCTCCACGTTTCTGAATGGTGACAAAATGCGTGGCAAATTCCAAAAATATTGATCCAAGACCGATTCTTCAACTCGATACCCTTTCGGGTTGCAGAGGGAATCCAAATTCTCGTCAGTGTTTCCGCCTAGGCGAGCCTGGTTTGAATGAGTGTACCCGTCGGCAAGGAATACTTGGTTGTTTACAACTGTTTACAGTTGTATTTGATACTCGGACCATGAGCCACCCGTTACCTGCTTCACCTCCATCCTTATAGTTATAAACTCATTGGTTGTGCCACATCTGGTTCAAACAACTGTACTCTGGAAGAGCTTATTTAAAATGGATATTACTACGAGTGCACAAACTCGCA